GCGACTTTACTTTCGGAACGACCTAATATTTTTTCCGAAGTAATATTTCACAGCCGGAAACGGATCCAAGAGCAGCCGCACTACAACGTGTGGAAGCTCATCAAGGCCAAGGCGATGGTTCTCTACTTAAACTGGATAACAGCGCTTGCGATGATTCCTTCATTTCGAACAATGCTCTAGCACCTACCACTACGAAAACAGCTACAACATCGACAACCCCTATGTCATTCGAATCTCTAATATATAAAGAATCGTAAGCGCAATTCAAAAATGTGCAAATAGCGGGAAATCGCATGGCGGTCCCAACGCGCGCGTGCAATAACACCTTTAGGAAGATGTGATGTGAAAGTGAATGTGTCGTTAGGCATGCATCAATATCCTTTATTTCGCATGTTTTCTTCTTTTTCAGTGAGTTTCCGTCTTTCTTTTTCTCCATTTAATTGTTCTCCCCCATGTCATCCTTTCCAATCTCACAGAACAGATTTGGCAGTCGTTGCAATTTTCAACTACAGTGTCCGCGCCGCAACAGGGTATTCGTGCTGGGCCGTTTAATCACTGTAAACGAGCGGCTGATATCCCGTGAAATTCGCTAAAGTCAAAAGGATAAACCAAGTTTGCGTTTGCACTTCATATCACTTGCAAAATAAGTTTTCTTGTCAAACTACCTACCTTGTGATTGTATGGTAGTCACTGTCCTATTGGTAAGGTCGATAGCGGGGGGAGCACTTCTGGGGGTGGCGGTGCTACGCTGCTATTAATATCTGGTTCGTTCCATCATGCATTTTCTGAGCCCGCTTGACCAGGATCTTTTTTGTATACCTCCTACCAAGGAAGGACGACCTAAGTTATTAGAACATTTCATATCGAACCAGTCCAATTGTTTGATTTTTCCTGAAAATGGCAATCTGCGCGGTGTAAACCAGCGAGATATCTCCAACACGAGACGGATTGAGCTGGTGCCAAAGATACCGTTGAGGCAGATGATGAAAGCTGGTAGAGTTACGGACAACAGATTTTTTCTTTGCAACCTTTTTGTATGGGATTTCTCACACTTTTTGTTAATGAACGAGCTTTTGTATAGTCCGCTTCTCCCGAAGGATTGCAAAGCTTTGCATGCATATTCTTTGTTCAAGTCCCTTTGCGAGCTATAGATACTTTTTTGATGAACACAACTCGTTTTGTCCTAGATTAAGCAGTACCTCAATTTGATAATAGGAAACTGCTATTTAGGTATGGACTCCCCACCAAGAAAATGCAGGTCAAGAGCCAGTATTTCTGCATCACTAAAAGCCAGAGAAAATCCCTTTTACCATCATAACGCATGCAAAATGAAAAACTTCTTGTTATCATTATGGAAAGCAGCATTACATTTTTGGGAGAAACAATCTAAAGGACCGGCCATACTATTCCTGTGATCCATGCAACTCCTGCGATTCCTGTGATTCTTGCAGGTCCCGCAACGCTGTATACTGCAAAAAACAATGTAAATTCAGGTTCGAAAAGCGTTCCATAGTGCGGCACATCGTAAGTCGAGAAATCACAGGAGTTGCAGGATTTACAGGAATCACTGGAATCACCTCCTGGTATAGTATGGCCGGTCCCTAAGGGAACCAAGGAATGCTTTGCAAAATAAGGAGCAAAGGGAAAGAAGCAACAAGGATGTGAAGCACAAAAATTTCACAGGCATATGGAAACTCATGCTTTCAAATACTCATCCTAACTTTTACGAAATCATGAACGAAAGCTGTGTAGCGAAAAATCGTGGACCAAATATAATGGCGTGATAGCACACATCTGATTAGAGTATTTACTGTGCCAAAAGACCTGACGATGGCCTTGAAAAAGTTAAAACCATCGAATTCATCACTCGACCGCAAGTTAGTATACTCCTCTGATAGGCTGAATCTAGAGCTTTCTTTGTATGCCAGAGTCGCACTCCTTACAGAACAGACTTGGCAGGCGTTCATTCCCAAATTCACTAAAACACAGATGGTCCTGCCACGAGCACCCTGTAAATGGCGGCGGGGGTGTAGTTGAAAATTGCAACGACTGCCAAATCTGTTCTGTTCTAATCTCGCATTTCTACATATCTACATTCGTTCCGTAATTATATTTCGGTGTTTTTCAAAGAACATCACGTGCTCTTTCGAAGAGCTTTGGAATCCACAGAATGTTCGTTTTGTATTAGGTCGTTCCGAAAGTAATGTCGCTTTTTTCGAATGAACGCCACTATTCGTGGAACCAACATTTTCAAGAGCTCTTGGGAGCATTCGATGCATCATTTCATCCTCTTTCTAGTGGTTCTAATTTCACTGCATAATGTTCAATGAGCTCTCGAAAAATAACCAAAATCTGCGACTCATGCTTTTGCATGGTCAAGTTCGGCTATTTTTCTACATTTTTGCATCTATTCTCCGAAAAAGTACAAGTGGCAGGTTGATAGAGCAAACACTATAGAACACAGAGTAATTTCTTCTTTTCTTTAGCTTGCTTCTCAGAGTTTCTACAATCAATTTCTCAATGCCATCAAATTCCATGTTTAGTCAAGTCAAATCTCACAGAACATCAACCGGCAAGCGACTCGGGTGTCATTTGATGTAGCTTTTTCTCCTCTTTCTAGCGGTCGTTTTTTGTTTCCGATTCATCAAGTTTTCCGGGATAAAATCATCATAATTCAGGTTTTCTAGGGAGCCCCAGGCTGTACCCGAAGTTTCCGAAAGTTGCTAATCTGAAGCGGTAAACGCTCATTTGATTTGTAAAATTGGTGTTAAACCAAATTTCATCTTTGTAAGTTTCTCCGAAGATTTATTGGTGTTTGATGCATTTGTGTCTGAGACGAGCTTGCTAAAATTCGGTGGTTCCATCAAAAAATCTATACAGAAATTATGACAAGCTCTGGAATGTAGGAAAAAGTTGTGCTGTTTCCTGTAAGATTTGCTCTACTTATCCGTTACTTGGACTCCTTCCGGGGGTTGTTTTAAAAATTTAGAAAAATTGTGAAACTTGGACTTCTTAAAAAGCATGGGCCGCAGGTTTTGGTAATTTTTCAAAAGCTCATTGAATGTGATGCAGTAAAACTAGAACCATTAGAAAGAGAATGAAATGCTGCATCGAATGCCTCCAAGATATCTTAGAAACCTTTGTTCCATCAAATGTGGCGCCCGTTTGAAGAAAGCGACATTACTTTCGGAACGACCTAATATAAATTTTGGTTTTCAATTTCTCTTCAGCCCTTTTCATGTAGTTTTAAAAGAAGTGTAATGTGATGCTAGAACTTGCTGTATAGTATTTTCCCATAAGCTAAGCGAGTATTTCACATATCTCAGAACGTTGTTATGTCTCCAATTCAGAGCGTTGCTGTAAACTCTTTCGCTACTAAAAATCGTCATGCGTTCTAACTCCACTCTTCGCGTCCATATTATAGTTCGCAAATTTGATATACCGCTCATAAAAAAGGAGTTCCTTTTTTGATGATCTCTTCGTTAAAGGATAAAGTCGACTGCACGGAATCCCAGGCTGAAGTCTGAGGAGATCTATGATAGAACACCCGTGCAAAAATCGCCAAGTCAAGGACAACGCGAAGCAACTACCATTAAAGGAGGAAACAACACGCTTGTAAAATTGTATATATTAGGTCGTTCCGAAAGTTCTTTCCGTTTTTTCAACCTATCATAAAAACACATGGAATGAAGATGGGAGAACGCTTTAGGCAATGCCCGACGCACTTTTTCTTCCTCTTTTCAACAATCATATTACTGTGTCGCTTGCTTTTGTGGTCAGTGAGATAATGGCCGGAATTTCAAACCCGTGGTTTTTACCCTGTCCAACTTTGGCAATTTTTCACAGTTTTCTTTTTTGACTTTTGGAGAAGCTTCAATAGCAGTCGGATATCTCAGTATTTTTTGAGACAACTTTTCCAGAAGTCTTCACTTTTTCGAAGTAAGAAAACACATAAATGTTCCGAACAATAGTAAATCTTCGGATTTTGACACTATCAAAAGTCGTTTATGATTTTCCACTATTTTTACAAAGTAACTGAGTGTTTACCGCTTCGAAATATAAGATTTCGCATTTTACGTCCACACCCTCAGGCGGGTTCAAAATCAAGAGTTACGGAAATTTTATCGCCAAAAACCCCCACCAATTAGGAAGAAAAATACTCAATAGAAAAGGGGGAAAAAGCTGCATCGAATGACACCTTAGTTGTGCGCCGTTTTATGTTCTGTGGTTCTTGGCATCACCGAAAGTGGAATTTGATAGCATCAGAGAAATAATTCTAAAAAAATTTTTAGGGCTAACAATAGAAGCCAAAAAATTCCATTAAATTGCACTTTTTTTACTCTATCCGACTGCTATTGAAGCTTCTCCGAAAGTCAAAAAAGAAAATTGTGAAAAATTGCCAAAGTTGGACATGGTAAAAACCACGGGTTTGAAATTCCGGCCATTATCTCACTGACCACAAAAGCAAGCGACACAGTAATATGATTGTTGAAAAGAGGAAGAAAAAGTGCGTCGGGCATTGCCTAAAGCGTTCTCCCACCTTCATTCCATGTGTTTTTATGATAGGTTGAAAAAACGGAAAGAACTTTCGGAACGACCTAATATATGCTTCTAATAAACGGTTCGAGTATGGTGTATATGTATGCAGAGCCGGGTAAATAACCCTACATACAGTCAAAACAACAAAGCGTCATGCGTGAAAATAATTCTTATGCAGCAAGCACGAAATTAAAGATTCAACTTCAGTGTACGAATACTGGCATGTTTCCACGCAAAAGTAATACGTTAACACACAGAGTGGACGTGGGGCGCCTCGTGAACGCCACTATGCCAAGTGGATGTCATCACAAGAATAATGGGATTAATAATAATTATCACTATTGTAGCGGGCGATGGATGCTAGTCGACCGTGTTAAGATCCTCGAATTGATGAATAGGCCGAGCCTCTGAGGCAAGGGATTGGGGCAGGGGGAATTTCTCTTGCCGCGCGCGTCGCCGCGATGGAGGAGATGATCAAGAACTTGGCTGAGCTGAAGCCCTTGAAGTGGGTGAAATCATAACAATTAGATAGAGACACTACAATCGATTACTTTAGAGAATGCGACACCACATTGGAAGTCACACCTTCGTCAAGCCGGGCAGCCTCGACAAAGTCGACCAAGCGTCAGACTTCTTCTAGCTCGGACACTTCAGAGTCAGATGCTGAGAATAAGAAACACGCAGCGGAGAAGCTTTGTGGTCTACGCAAAATCAACGCAGTATCAGCTACTGATGAACTTGAGTCACATATAATGACAACAAAGTTAGGACAGTGATAGCGGTAGCAGGCAAGAACTGATCCTAAACTACGAAAGTGTAAACCTCTACACCACAGCAAAGCGAAACAACATCAACAACTAGATGACCACCGAAGGACAAAATGTCAAAGGCAAAGAAGAAAAATAGCAGGGAGAACGAAGTAATAAAATTGTGTTTGTCTAAGTATATTGGTAATAAAGAATTTAACTCTGTCGTATATGAATGAATATTAGAGGGTATTTTCCCCTACATAACACTAGACCACAAAGCGTTGCGCTTATGAATAGCGACCATCAAACGAAGCGCGAAAATAGTAATCTAAAATCATTTCAGACCTGGGTAGTGTGAAAATGTTTCCACGTAAGACGAACACACTAACGCATAGAGCCGATTTGGTTCATTCTATGAATGCTACGGCCCCAAGGTGAGCATATGAGGATCAGAATCGTGAGATTAATGACGAGTATTGCAGCGGACGCTATATCATGATTGATCGCGAGAAGATTCAAGAACAACTCAATACTGCAGAGCCGCTCCTTACGGGTGCAAAAGCTGGGGGTGGAAATCCCCCCTTGGCAGCTCGACTCCAGGCGATGGAAGAGGCAATAAAAGATCTGGCAAGAATGAAACCGATAAGGGCGAGGCTACTAGAGAGATGAACAGATACTAAGACAAATTACGTCAGGACCACGTCCGACTCGACCCTGGAAGCCACGCCTGAGCCATCCACAGTTGCATCGACAAAGACAACTAAGCGACAGATGGTGTCATCTAGCTCCGAATCATCAACGACAGAAGATGAAAGGAAGAGCAGAAGAGCGACAAACCAGGCCCCTCTAAGACTTCAACACCTAAAAAACCATCCAAGTCGGAATCCACAAAGAAGAAGGTTAAGAAAGAACCCCCGTGATGAACTATAAGTGAATATACGATTCATGCGTGCACCATAACAAGTACTCCAATACAAGAAGCAGGGTCCTTTTTCTTAACCTTCTCAGCCAATGGGCTGCCAGCGCTGTAGAAATTTTTACTCTGAAAGACATTCCCCTCTTTTGCTGCAGTTGCTAATGTCAACGAATGAATTCGTCAGAAACTGACAAATCAAGAGCGACTTGAAAGGAAACCTAGTGTAGACATATCTGAGAGATATCAGCGGAGTATCAGCTGAGAACAAGGAAACAGGATATTATAGAAATATCACACCAGGCAGTGGTGACAGTCCATTGGTCAGAATAAAATGAAGCGCGGTAGTTTAGATATTTTGAATGTATCCCTTTTTTTCGTTAAATTTCACGTCATTAAATTGTATGTTATACTTTCCTTCTTTGTTTTGTATAAATTACATCGCTTTTCCTCGTTGTTTTTCTTTTAACAATAGTTCTGCTGTTATACAATAAATGGTATACACCAGTCTGTTGCAAGACATGTGAACACGGAAACAGGCGAGTGCTCAACAGGTAGCCACTGATAAACATACAACTGCGAGCGGTCATGGCAGGAAACTCACCCACACACCTTACTGACCAAGCATCATATAGACCATCAACAAGGCATAGTGAGAATCAGCCACCTGGTGCTGTTCAATAAGGCCTCACCTTAACTCCAAAGCATGCCCCCAGAGTATTCGCAATGCGCTAAAGGAGCCTACGATAAAGATCTTGTAGTTCACAAAGGTACGCCGTGTGCGAACCAATTTACAATACGAATAGATTGTGAAACCAAGCAGGGTTACCCTAAACTGAGTAACAATTCGCTATGAGCGACAACAGTAAATGCAATTTTTGCACATATAGTTGCTGACATGGAAACTTTGACCACAAGCACACAGACTGGTGCAAACGAATTACACTAATATATGAACACGAAACATGGTCGGAAATGACATAACACAAGTGTATTGTAGTATTGTATACATGCATAAGATGTTAATAAAAGATTTAAATGCAGTGTGTTTGAATGGAGCTGGGTAATAAAACCCTTCATATAGGCAAATTGACGAAGCGACGCGCGTAAAAATAGCCCTAGATATTAGGCACGAAAAGAAAGATTTAATTTCAGAGTGTGTGATTACCACCATGTTCCCCCGTAAGAACAATGTCATGACACACCGTGTCGAACTGGGACGATTCGTCAATGCAGCAATGCCAAGGTACGAATACCACTGCAAAATAAGAGGACCAATAATAATAATATTACAGCGGGCGTTGGATGCTCGTCGATAAAGACAAGATCATGGAGATGATGAACAGTGCCGAACAGCTAAGACAAAACATTGGGCAAGGGGGAAACCCCCTTGCAGCCCGCATAGCTGCTATGGAAGAAGTCATTAAAAATCTGACCGAACTGAAGCCGCTAAGTGAGTCAAATAGTAACAACCAAATTGAGATACTAATAACCACTTCAGAGAATCCGACACTGCATCGGAGGCTACTCCGTCAACAAGTCGCGCCACTTCCACCAAATCAACTAAAAGGCAGCTTTCGTCCAGCTCGGATACCACCGAATCCGGTGTTGAAGAGAAGCGCGCAGAGGAGAAGCCGGGGCCAAGCAAGACTTCGACGCCCAAAAGGACAACGAAAATCGAAGTTTTGAAGAAAAAGGTTGAAAAGGAGCCTCCATAAGCAGCCTGTTTCTTTCTTATTCTTGCCGACTATGAAATCTTGACGAGCAGAATATAAAAAAGGTTCCTTTTCAACTTCCCATTATACTATTACCAGTGGACTGTCACCACAAAAGGAAACACCTCACCACGCACTAAAAATGTCTTGTTTGCCTAGGGAACTCTTACTCCTTTTCTTTTGGGTAGAGAGAACAGAGATGAAAACTAGTGAATACACCAAAAATGACCAAACGGCTGAGCGATACCTTACAGACATAGACCTGAGATATTCAACACGTTGCGAAACGGGCACAAGGAAACAGGAATCGATAGTAACAAAGCGCAAAACATGAATAGTAAACTGCACAACAATTGTGGTGACAATCCACTGGCAAGAATAAAGCGAAGACATCTCTATATATATACCTCCTCTGTTTTTTTTTGTGTATAATAGTTATGAATTTCTGTATATTTGCATGCCGTTGTTCTTTATATGTATTTGTATAAACACTTAGTGTAAACTTCTTTTGTAAAATAAAGTTCATAAATAAGAATTTGGCGTAAATTGCTCACTCTTGAAGATCCGAATAGAGGAATTTCCCACAAAGAATAGTGGCTGAAATGACGAAAACCCACTTAAGGGCTCTTGTAAGATACTACCCCAGACAACAATTGTAGGAAAGCAGAACAAAGCATATCCTGCAATGTCTCATCCTAACTATAGGACATGCCTCGATACCCTAGCATTTCTGGTATATCACTGACACACCTAAACGAGTTGAAACACCAAACGATATCTGCGCTATGCGCCCAGTTTGTAACGCCTAGTGAGGTAAGAATCAGGATTGATGTCGACCTGAGGTCCCAAAATCTGCCGAAGATCGTCGGACTAAACCAGATGTCGCCAACTTTGAGAACCAAGCACAGCGATAAGGACGTCACCCACCCTAGCCAGACTGGCCGAGCGGGTGGTCTGTCTGTAGCGCTCGTATAGTGTAAAGTGCTCATTCATTCCTACGTCGTATCAGACTACTTCCTAGGTCCGGACGCCCTGAGAAAGATGCTCGCCCCAGTAGAGGATAAGCAGATAGCTGAAAACAAGAAGCTATTGATACAGATATTCAATGCTCGGAGGCGGCAACACACTCCCGAGACTAACTCTAACACCTCACACCTTGAGGATTTCCCAGCTCCAACGCCTAGAATCAAGAGATTGCCTGCATATGCTTCATCATAAATCTAGTGAAAACCTAGCTGTGCCTGCAGAAATTGAAGAGCACGCAAGGTCACGAGAATCATTGGCATAGTTGATTACAGTACGTAAGATGGTGATGGCACCTGGCATACCTTACGTTCTTGCAAGTGATACTGATCAGTTAAATAGACCTAAAAGGTTATCCATCAAGCAATACTCTGCTCTCCAGACATGTTTTGCACATGATCATTGGCATAGCCGATTACAGTAGGTATGATGGTGTTAGTACCTGGCATACCTCATGTTTTTACAAGCGATACCGAGCAGCCAAACAGGCTTGAAAGGCTATCCATCAAGCAATACTATGTCCTCCATACAGGCTCAGCACATGACCTTTATGAACTGGCAACAGAACCATTTATTAGAATGCAGAAAAACAGAGTATGATGTCGTACAGGACATTTGCTGCAGTATTTGCCATCTATCGGTGAAGCTGAGATGTAAGCAACAATCAGTGACCTCTATTGATGAGTATTAACTACGCCCTCTTTAGTCGTGGACAGAGCTATGTGAACCCGAAAAGGTGATACTAACAAACTACCCGGAACTAAATATGCAGGGTAGTTAACGCTGTGAATTCAAGTGAATCCGACCAGAATTTGAGACCGAAATGCAGACAACGCCAAAATCTTATATACTCCTATTTATTTACGAAGTATTAAGTGGGATAGACCCATTGAGGGGCTGTAAGATACCTTCGACCACAAGCTAGTTCGTGAAGCAGTATTAGGTCAGTGTAACCACCAGTGAAGTAGAAACTAATGTTACTAATATTGCATTGTGCAATCACTTCTCGTGTGCTGTGACGCATGCTAGAATTCCCGTCTGCAATTCCAGGCAGTGAGGAGCAGTACACCACATCTCTATGTACATTTAATGCATGCCCCAGGGCTAGGCACGTCGACCGCAAGCAAACCACCTGCACAACCAGCCTGAAGCGATCAGGCGGTGCCAGGGGCAAAACCACTCTTCAACATGGCGCGAAGCCACAGCCGGCCACCGTGACATACAGCGCACACAACGGTGTGTCCGATCCGGCAGGTTCGGCAACGTTGAACGCGGTTAGTAACAGGATCAGTGCTGGTCTGTAGCATGGAAGTTTGTCGTACAACATCAAGTTGAATACTACGGCTGAACCGTTGAGACAGCGCATCGGAGCTGGCGGAAACCCCTTGCTGTACGCGTCGCTGCGATGGAGGAGACGACCAAGGAACTAACTAAGTTCAAGCTGATGAGAGAAAGTGACACTACATAGAAGTCACACCCGCACCAAGCGGCTGCGCCATCAAAGCCAGATGGTTCCCACTAGCTCGAAGATCTTCCCGTCAGATAGTGAGAAGAAGAAACCCAGACCAAACTGGCAAACATGAAAAGGATAGACTAGGGACTAACAGGCCCCCGGCCATGACACGGATTGGCTCCAGGAGCTGGGTTACTGCGAACCCGAGCTGAGAGCGAATAACGCCCGGCAGTTTCGGTCTGAGCGAGTACTCGCGAGTACGCTTGCGGACGTAGGAAGCCCTTAAGGCTGGCTGGACATTGGCGAGGGCTCTGGGGACTCGGATGATCCGTTGCTCGGAGCACATGGGCCGTCGATAGGTCCACTGCTCTGTAGGCAGGATAAGTGCTCCAATATGTCACCACATGCCGCCATATACAACTCTACAGCGGGCAATGATGTCCGGAAAACCCATTCATTTGCGTGCGCCAGTCACGATACTGGCTAAACGGGAAGTTCCGGGGGCACCTTGGCCTTGCGCTAGAGGTGATTACTCGACGACCACAAGGCCAATCTAACAGCGACAGCAGGTGCCAAGGACTTCTTCGCTTGTCAAGGCCACCATCGTAGCGGCCCGATGGGAATGTCTGCCAAGGCCCGTGAGTACTTCGTGTCTAGACCGAGTAGGAAAGGTCGCTTATAAGCCTGAATTACGGTCCACTTGGAGCCGGAAACGGCCCAAAGCCTAAACAGCAGTCGTCAGGGGACCTGCCTGGTGTTCGCTTGCGGGCATTGTGGGCACGCCAACCAGTGAGGTCAAGCCGAATACTCACGCAGCACGTGGATAGGAGTCTTCACAACCGGAGGAGGCGGCGCGGGTCGGAAATATTAGCAGACCACCTCGCCTACCCGCTTGCGAGTAGGGAGGTACGTCTCCGCTAAGGGGAGGAGTTCCACACGTGACTGCAAGCGTTGCCACTGGATCTGGATAAAACCGGGATCGGGGTTGCCTGCCTCATCCTGGGGGCCCTGGTGAGACAGGGCAGGTCGTGGTCGGATGGCTTGACAATCGGCTTCAAGCAGGAGTCGAGCCGCAGCACGCACGGCTTGAAGCGGCCAAATTATAGACGTGTCTACACCAGAGCGCCCAAGCCTGGTTGGAGACTTCTTTACCAGATTGACGCGCATGAATGGATTGCCAAGATTCCCACTTTCCCTAAGTACTATCTAGCGAAACCACAGCCAAGGGAACGGCTCGTAAAAATAGCGGGGAAAGAAGACTTGAGCTTGACACTAGGTTGACATTGTGAAGAGTCATGAGAGATGTAGCACAGGGTGGGGAGACTTCGGTCGCCAATGAAATACCACCACTTTCATCGATTCTTTACTTATTCGGTGAGAAGAGGATTGAGCTTCGGCTCTTTGATCTTTGTATTGAGCAAAGCCACCTGGTGGCATTGCGACCGTGTCAGGCGGGGAGTTTGACTGGGGCGGTACATCTGTCAAATCGTAGTACTGGTGTCCTAAGGCTAATTCAGAGAGGACGGAAATCTCTAGTAGAGCAAAAGGGCAAAAGCTCCCTTGATCTTGACTTTCAATAACAGTACGATCGCGAAAGCCCCGCCTATCGATCCTTTTAATCCAGATGATTTTTGGTAAGAGGTGTCAGAAAACACAGGGATAACTGGCTGTGGCAGCCAAGCGTCCATAGCGACGTTGCTTTTTGATCCTTCGATGTCGGCTCTTCCTATCATTGCGAAACAGAATTCGCCAAGCGTTGGATTGATCACCCACTAATAGGGAACGTGAGCTGGGTTTAGACCGTTGTGAGACAGGCTAGTTTTACCCTACTGTTGACTAATTGTTGTGATAGTAATCCTATTTAGTGCGAAAGGAACAACACGTTTAACATTTGGTTCATGGACTTGACCGATCGGTCAATGGTCCGAAACTAACATCTAGGGGTTTATGACTGAACCCAAGCCTCTAAGTCAGAATCCAACCTAGTCAATGTAGGAATAACTTTGTTTCCCGGTGTCGGGAGGCAACTCTATCTCGTGGTCACGCGAGAGCTTATCCCCAATAAATGGACTTGCCGGTATGGATAATTACTGCTGGTTGCTAAAGCCAGATCACTCTGGTTCAATGTCGGGGCGCAAAATCACATTTCTACGACATGTATACTATTCAAGGTGTTGTATCCAGTAGAGCAGTGTTTGTAAAGGATATTCGTTGGCGACTGCCCCGTTTCGTGCATTTACACCACCGCGGGCGTGCCTTTTTGAAGTATTTCCAGCTCTACAGTATGCAACAGCGCGCAGGGAATTCGCAGCTTGCAGCGCCCCTGTCCTTTAACCTCTTCTGCATTTCTCATCTTTTTTTTCTTTTTCAATCTTCATTTCAGGCAGCTGCTCATCAGTCAGTCGTTCTCCTCTTCTTTTTTGAAGTTCTCTCGGTCGAATACCCTACAAATTCTGCTTTGATGGGTACTGAAAGAGCAGGAAAAAAGTTTTGGCACA